CACATCCAAACGATTAAGATTGAGTGAAAAAATCCGAAACGTTTCAGTTTACTCTCATTGAGTTTGTCAATATTTCTTCCTGGATCTGCATACTATAGTGAACAAGCATTTTAGCCATGAAAATGAACAGTTTCCTCGAGGGTGGTGTGGGCATCTTGTAACGCTGCTATCAGATTATCTTTTTCTTTCTCCCTCGTCTTCTTGTGCAGCACTCATCCGACCAGGGGAGTACTAGCTAGTATAGAGGTATAGTTCATCAGATTATCATTGACCATCACTGAGTAAAGACCACCAACGAACACAACAATACTGCTGCCAGTAACCATCAATATGCAAATCTTCTCTTTCCATCACATTCAGATGCTATTCGAATAGGCATCATGAACAATAGGCCAAGGTTTCCATCTAATACACCACAAGATGCTACCAATGTACGCGATAACAGGGACGTCACAAATGAACTCGATAGTATCCTAATAGAAACCGTTTGACTGTACATCAACAGGCCCTTACTAGGCTATACAGCAGCGGCACAACAGACATCACGGTTGAGACCAACGCGGCAAGCAAGAGTTCGATGAAAGATTCTCTCACGGAGTACTTCTCCATATAGGCAGCAGCAGAGCTTTTTCCTGATCCAGCCTCTTCTATGTTTGATAAGGATGTTTACCACACATACCCCCTATATGCAAGGATAGGAAAGTTCTCAAAGCATTGAGACCTCGCCATCAACATCAACGATACCGCCTAAAACTGAATCTCCCCAGTATACGTATTCCACTCGCTGGAGATCCCCACTCGATGCAGATAAGCATCCTCAATGAAACTCAACAATTGGTATATTCCATGAAACATATGATAAAAAATCAACCTACGTCAACTCAAACCGAGGTGGCCAAAAAGTGAAGGAATATTCCACTATCAATAACCCCACAGACCTCCTCTCCAACGAGGACCGGGACGTAGGATTGGACCTCGAGCTTGATGGCGACTTCGGCAAGAGAGGCATCCATAGCCACACTCAGGGGAGGACTTGGTTTAAGCCTGGACAGAAAATGTCGCGCGCCACGAAATTCATCTCGTCCTACTTGCACTTCTCCAAAGTGAGAGTCTTGGGGTCTTCAGCAGCCGCAACACGTGTATACAGATTCTTCATCGTCACCATGTCCTGTCCACTGCTGAGCATTGCAACCTGAAGCGATAAAAATTCTTCGCTGTGCGCAAGGATTCCCGTAGCGAAACCGCCATTCACATACGACACGGCAATTTCGTCAACAGGACGAAAATAAACTCACCTCTGCTGAATAGGTAGGGTCCTCCTGAGCAGCAGATTTAATCATTGTAATTCCCTCGAATGCCGAGAGAGACGGGCTCAGGGTTAAAACTTTCCAAAAAACAATTCCCGACTCCTTCAATGATAATCCTCCCCAACGCTTCTGTTTATAATTAGAGTAACTGTAAGATCCACATAAAGTCAATTCGAGCGCAGCAGCAGCCTCCTCCCACCCCACCCGGGATGCTCCTCCATCGAAATGAAGCCGTGGGACAACATCCAACCATCATCCAGGAACTGCTTCACAACTCCACTTCTCCTACGGTTCAATGCGGCCCACCTTAGACATGTAATTTCGAGAGGAATCGGGTAGCAACGTCACGACCCTTTTGCCGACTATTTCTTCGGGCGTCTTCGACTTTATATAGCGAACCTAGAGGGAGGCTTCAGAAGGAGCTCGATGGTGTTATACTCACCGCAGCAGCCACGCATGTCCCCGAGCTTCCCCCGACGGTTAGACCTTCCAGTCGGATGAGCTTCCTGGCCATGGCTAGGGCCTCGGGATCGCCAACCTTCATCCACTCATCTATCACACTGGGATCTCTGTCGAGCACCTATGCAAACGATCCAGGTTCGATCCCTGGTGGCGGCATCTGAGCTCACTGTAGGTATGAAATCATAACCAATGCCTTCCACCTGATATCCCTCCAATCTGCCCGGGTCGTTCAGCGAGTCCGGCACTGCCAAAATCGACCCCACTGGATCAACTCCAACGACCAGACCTTAACAATAAAACCATACCATACCTCCGTCACCTCAGCACAGGCCTTACATTGATCCCCGAGGACGTCCTTCAGCTTCCTCGCCACTCCCGTTATAGTACCCCCAGTGCCCGCGCCCAGGACCATCCTAAAGCTCCACAATCACCCCAACCCATGCACGAGCGTTTAACCCACACGTCCACCTTCCCATCGCATTGCTCGATGATCTCCGCGCCCGTCCCCTCGTAGTGTGCCATCGGGTTAGCAGGGTTTAAATACTAACAAACACATACCACACTTCCGTCAACTCCCACCTACCTGATCCAGTATATGACTACGGGGTATTTCCCTCTGCAATTTGATAGCCAAGCCTATATGAGATTCCGGGGTGTTCCACGCCGCCTCATTAGGGGTCCCTACCGTAAATCCGTCAAATCACGAGTGATCAGCTCAGCCTTACGTAGTATCTCAGCGCCCAGGCACTTCATCATATTTACCTTCTCTCCACTCATTTTCTCCGGCATTGTGACGACCATTTTGTACCCCTAAGGAGACGACCACCTCCACGACCGAGACGACAACGCCCAACCCCACCTTTATGGCGGCCGCCAGACACAGACCCGTACCAGTGTTACCACTAGTAGGCTCGATGAGGGTATCCCCTGGTCTGATCTGAAAGAAGGATGGTATGCACACATAATGCACAGCTCGAGCCCTACCCTGCCCTCCTCCTCAGCAGCCTCTATCATCCTTAGGGCGATCCTATCCTTGACACTACCCCCTGGGTTGAAGTACTCAGCCTTAGCCCACAGCTCACCTAAACATCACCGAGTAGACGTATCCAGACTCTGTCACTAAATATTTCATCAATTCACTATAAACATAACATCACTAACTATAACCTCATACAGTAGGATCCCTACCCCTACATGGTAGATCAAATTCCTCCATAATTCGCTCTAACTTCACCATAGGCGTGCTCCCCACCAACTCCAATGCGCTGTTAACCACATTGCCACTCCCAGCAGCCGACGACTTGGAGGTACGACCGAATGTCCTATGTGGACAGCCCTCGAGACCATCACCAGGTTTCCAGGGGCACTTCTGGAGACCGTTATACTGTGGGAAGGTGCTCATCGACTTAGTAGTAGGGGCAGGGGGCGTGGCGACGCTGCTGATCAATGGCGACATGAAAAAGGATAAAACTAAAAATTGAAGTACCTTCCAAAAACTCCAACACAAAAAAAACTTCGCTCCGCCGAGACCAGTGGAAAATACGTCCCCTCCTCCAACGGTTGACAGCGCTGTCATGGGAATCCTTCCTCATGTTCGGGCGCGCGCTAATCAACTCGTATGAGAATGAAACTGTTAGATTCCCATCCCATGTGAACTGACCATTTTGACCAACAACGTGTCGTATATCTCTGAAGTCTGATGACTCATCGATAAATGTATCTTTCAGCATTATTCTCAATCTTTCATGAACTGACTGTAACTACGACTACGTCTTGGTCTCAGCGTGTAGTCTATGTAGTCTATTAAGGAGACGGCTTCGCAGTCACGCACATGTGTATGCGTGCACCTCATTAGCTATACGGTGGTTCCCTTTGCCTCTCCTCCCTACAGTTGATTCCCCTGTGTTTGGTTACGAGTACCATCGGCTACGGGTGTCGGGTGACAGCACCAAAAACATCTGTCACCAGTGAGGGAAAATTTTGCACTACACGTGTTGACGACAGCGATAAAATTCTGAGGAAATTTCGGGATTTTTTCCGTTGGTTTCTGTCTACTCCTATCCCAAACGTGTGTGAATTTTCATACTGTACCTTCTGAAACTCAAAACAACAAATTTCAAAATTCTGCCAATTCTCCACCTCAGCTGATAATACCAAACATATACACTTCAACACCCTCCCACTCGACCAGGACCATGCATCGATCGATCTCCAACCGACATAGAAAATATTCTACTGAGTATTTCAACTCCTCCATCACTTTATCATGAACTCAAAAGCACCTCAATCAGCATCCTTGTTAAAAATTGGCAATATTAACAAATACGTTACCGCGTTATGCATCACCTTCCTCTTCCCGTACGAAGGGTAGGGCCTCATTAGCAAAGACGTCGAAGATTCTACGCCAGCCGCCCCTCGGCCCTTTCCCTCCCCCCATAGCCGTCAATGCATAATCAGGGCATATCGCGAAAACCCATTCGGGCACACCATACTGTATCGAGAGTAGATACACCAATGCACTAGATAGCGCAAGGACCGCCTTAGGGGCCCTATCATAAAGACTTCGGACCCTCGGTGATGCCCTCATCAAGAGGCTACATACCAACAACACTGCGCATAACCATATGAGCCTCCTACGCCACCAAGGGGCCCACGACTCCGACACATATCTTCGTAAATACCTCTCAACAATGCTAGCCACAATCGGGAAAATTTTTGGTTTGCCAAATCGGTCAACTTCCACCAAAGCGGCCGTAGGCACTTTCCCACCATGATGTCGCTCCCGTTGATAACTGATATTAGCAAAATCATCATCAAACCTCATTAAGATATCGATCATCTGGGCGCGCGCTTCCTGCTTCGACAGTCCTCTACACTTATCCCACGCCAGCCATGCCAAAGCTTGAGCAGGTTGGGTGACAGGAGGGTGGTGGAGGGGGGCGTCACCGTGGAGGATCTGTCGGCATAGGGCGGACACTCGTAATCGGAGCCGTGGGGTCAGCGATCTGAAGACCAATGATAAACGAATCTTAGGTTACCGCGATGAAGATACGCTATCAAGGTGAAACTGATACACTTTTTCCGAAGAGTGAGTATAAACGCTGAAGAGTGTGCCAAATGGGTAAAAAAATCCGCCACAGTAAATACCGCGGGAACGATTAATCTCTCTACTGCGAGTTTGAACGATTATTGTCCAGATATTGGCCATAGGGCTCAAGTTCGTTTTGTCCTAATCTCCACTCCCCTCGTATCGCATTCCTCTGGGAAGGTTCTACAGACAAGCATCAGCTACCGCAAACCGACACTGACGGGAAAATAAAAACATCAGGTTAAGAGGTGACCTCCCCCCCCAAGGCGACAAAAAACCTCCTGGACGTTCCATTGGACGTCGTAGGCATACTGTGAATGATTCGCGCACGATTATACAACAAAGTGCGGGTTGCGGTTGTTCTTGTTTCAGAAGACATGCACGCCGACATCACACGATGCACTAGTGTAGAGGGCAAGCCGATGCACGAAATGGAGGCGCGCGGGAACTTTATGCAACTCCTACAGCTTCAATTATACAAACAAGATCGCGTTGGAATTCCAACTGATACCGAAGATGTAGAAAATCCTATAGACCAACTACCCCGCGTCCACTTTTGGACCTCATTTGAATCTTATACACTTGAACCTAAGATACTCCCTCAACTACCTCGGATGCCTCTTAATACAAGAAAGGGCCAACTGGACCTCATCCTCTTCTTGAGTCCTCATCGGTTGACCACCATCCACCATCAGAGCCCTCCGCTGTCCAGGGCCGCCACCAGGGAGGAGACTTTGCATCCACTCGGGGAGTAGAGTAAGCAGCCCTCGAGTGGTGAGGAGGCGGCGAATGCCAGGGGTACATCCGGCCAGAAAACGCGCTCTTTCTAATTCGTTCAGATCGAAGAACTTCAGCGCTGAAAAAATCCACGAAATTGATCATTTCCAAAGTCAAAATTTCAGCCCTTTTTTCTTACACATTAGTCCAGCCATCATAAACCCCATCGTGCTCCTCTTAAGGAGGCCCTCGAGTAGTTCCAAGGGCGTCTTCTCCGTGAGGAGCTCCCGAATGGTGTTAGAAATGCTCAGAGAGGAGGTGCCTCCAAAGGAGTCAAACCACAGCCCCACAGCCAGCAGACAAGTCCCTATGAAGGATAGTAGTAGGCAGGGCCACACCAAGAGGGGTACAACGGTGATGATGGCCAGGAGGAGCCCTAGGAGGACGAGGCTGCCCCCTAGGGCTTGGAGGCGTCGGGGGGTAAGGTTGATTTCGGGTATAATTACGGAAGGAGTGGTATGATGATGATGTAGGTAAGGGATGGATGGCCAAGTAGTGGTGATGGCCCTCGTGCAGGTAGTGGGCATTGACGAAGACTTCAGAACAGCATCATCACCATTGGTAGTAGTAGTTCCCAAAATGTGCTCTCCCAAATAGGCGGAGCGAAGTTTCTCTAAGAAATAGGCGGAGCGAAGCGATAAATGTTTGCCATTTTTATAATTAGCAGCTCAGAGGTTAGTATTTGATGCTTATAACAGTTACATTAACATTAATAACTCCAATGGTGATGGCCAGGTTGGTCACCACCATCATTATCTCCTCATTGGTTCTCCTCCTTTTTTCCTTCCAAGGGTGTTCCTCGACCCGTACGAACAGCTTTAGACCAGTCACCCCTACTCCCAAATCACCCCCTACATATACAACAACAATACCAACTAGCGGTACTAGGAGGGTCATGTTTGGGCCTCATCCGTATCTTACCGTCCTCAACCTAAGATACTCCTTACACGTGCGATGCATCTACCCCTGCAATTGTTGGTACCTATCGAGGCGCCTTCGACGGTAGCAGCAGCACCCAAGAGATCTCCCTGCAGTTCGCCCAGCCCAAGAAGATCGGCGTTATGGCTGGTGAGTCTCCTACCCTTGAGTGGCTATAGTTTTGAAAAGAGTAAAAGGGAAATTTTCTGAGAATTTTCCGGGAATTTTCGCGATTTTGGGATTTTTTTGGTAAATGTGGTTCGAAAAATATTTGGGGAAAAATCTTCCTAATTCATCACTGAAATAGTGTGGGAAAATATGCACATGCTCAACCACATGTAATGGCATTTATATGGAAATTCTGGAGATTTTTTTGGATTTTTTTTTCATTTTTGTACACTTTCACCCGAATTCGTAGGTAAATTTTTTTATCTGTTGAGGAAACTTGTGAGCTCAGCTGATGAGAGCGAACATATATTTCCAAGGAGAATGCAGTCCCCTCTCCCAGGTTCCTACGCTGGCACCTCCTTCAGCTACAGTAACATCTACTACGAGTTCGTCTCGGGCCAGTCGTGGTTTGGCCTTCGACCTTTCGCCGACTCCGAGGCCCTCTTGACACTATTTAAGCTACAGAGCATGGACCAGGTCAGAGTTGACATAAATCACCAGTGCCAGCCTGTACGTATTAGCTTTGGTTCGACCGCTACGGCGCCGCTTAGTAAAGTAGTGTAGTCGCTCAACGACATTTGCTGTTGTTATTATACGATGCTCTGTGAAGCATCATTACTCCCGAGGTCAATCTCGCCAACTCTAACGACCCCCTGGGGCTATCGCGTTCAACGTTAGTAATTTCTCTCAACAGTATCGTCTATATTCCCTATGCCAGCCCGTAAGGTCCTACCAACCTTTCGAGGGACAGCCCTAAAGCAAATCTCCCACACTTCCACCAATTCCCACTTCGGTAACCCCCTGGGAAAGCAAGTAAGGCTACTACTACTACCACTCGCCGCTAGGCCCTCTCTCAGTACGTCCACCCTACCCCTCAGCCCGCTGCCTCGTGGAGGCCCCTCGCCAAGTTTGGTGGGCCCCTCACGGCTGACCTGCCCCCTCCCTCTACTCTCGATGCAGAGGGCTTGGGTCATGCTGCTAACACTGCCGTGCGAGATCGGATAAAGAGCACTTCACCGTATTGGCAACAGCTGAGAGATAGAGCCCTCGCTATCGCCCCCGCGATGGAGCCTAGGGACTGTGCTCTTCTCCTCAATGCTTTCTCGAGGGTCCGCATAGCCGACCAGCAACTGTTCGATACGCTGGCCCCCGTGGTAGAGGCCAAACTGTTGTATTTCACATCAGTTCATCTCGCGATGGTGTTCAGCGCCTATGCTAAGACAGGTGTGCAGATGCAAGTAGGATGGTAAAAGTTGAAGTTGGCAGTAGATTCGGTGCTCTTAGGAGTCGTTTTTGAATGCCTTGTCGCGAGAGGTCGCGGCTAGAGTCCATGAATTCCACAGCCCCGTAGAGATATGTATGTTGCTAAATGCGATGACCAAACTGGGCGTGGTGGATTTGGAACTCTTTACTCGGTGGTGTAAGCATATCCAAACGAGGATGTCCCAAGAGCCCTTCCACGTGAGGGACCTCAGCGTTATTGCTAGTGCACTGGCTAGGGTCGTCAAACACCATACTGTTGCTGAGGGGAGTGGTCAGAAAAAAGGGGGAGAGGTCATACACGGGTTGGGAGGAAAATATGAGAACTTTCTCGAGATGATATGCATGTGGTCAACTACGTTTGACAACATGGGAATTTTGAGGAAATCTAGAAATTTTTTTGGGCGGTTTTTGTATACTCCTACCCGAATTCGTGTGTGAACTCCTGAATATATCTTTTTAGGATGACACTGAGGATGGTCAGCAGCTTGAGGGTCTCCTTCCCCTCACATCTACAATGGAGATGATAGCAGGTCGAGCATTGGCGACCTTGGCAGAGGCGACTCCTATGGAGTTGGCCCGACTGGTCTTGGCATACACCAGTGATAGTGGTGGGGTTATTAGTCCTCCTAAGGAGCTCTTGGAGTCAAGTCTGGCATGTGCGAGGGATAAGCTCATGTTTATGGCACCAGCGGAGCTGGTAGGAGCATCCAGGGTGGAAAATACGGAATAGCATATGTTTAGGTCAACGTGGCGTTTGCTTTTGGACAAGTACGGGAGTCGCTGACCAGCGTTTCGGACATTGCTCTGCTCGATTCGTCCATTTTCGAACGATTGAGGTTTTCAGCGGTCAGCTCCGCTCCGCTATTTTTGGCTTCGGAAGTTGGAGGCCTCCTTCAAGTGTATGCACGATGGAGGATCCCCTTCGGCCACAGCGACCTCGCTGTGATGGTCTCCCGGCTCATCACGACTGCTGAGAAATGTGACGCTGAAGTCGCTTGTAACGCTGTGTATTGCGCTACAACTATCGTGATGAACACCTCGAAGTCTCGGGACATAGGTAGTTTTGTATCTCGCTTTGTTGAACCTAAGACTCCTCACAGTTCCGCCATCGCTGATGGAATCAATACGGAAATTATTGCAATCGTATTCGCCGTTAATAGTAGAGTCAGCAGCAACGCTCGAGATGGGCACTATCGCCAAGTTTGTGGAGGCTATGGTTAATACGGCCCATCTGGACAAAGCTGTTATGGACACTATAGCGAGGTGAGGCTCCGTGTGTGTGGGGGGGATATACACGAGGAGATTTGCTGGTGGTTTCCTAAAATGCTCGTACCAGAATTTCTGTATGAGCTCGGCTCGAGAAAGCGAGCATATATTCCAACTCCAACATTGGTGATGGTAGCGGGGAAGGGCCAGTAGGAAATGTGTTATATTTAGGTCTCTGATGACGACTCCAGCTAGAGTGGTGGAGTTGGGCCGTTCAAAGCGTACTTGTCATCTCCTCATCGAGTCATTCATTGCTCATGGGTTCGACCAAGAGGGTGACCTCATGTTGATGCTGAAAGAGCAGCGTGAGGGTGGAGGGGCGACTCTTGCTGGGTAGCAGCCAGCGTTTCCGATCATGCAAATGAATTTACGTTTCCGTTCTAGCATATCTGCTTGTGTAAGTTCAGAGAGGGATGGTAGGCCAACTAATGCCAGAGCTGACTCAGCTATTCCGATAACGAGTTCTCCGCTCAGCGGCTCGTCGACTGCGTCGTTGCTCACAACTGAGGCCTCCAATGGGATGAAGCACAGCGCGTAGACGAAGGCAAAGCTAGTTCTAGCAGCGATCTTCCAGTGATTCCGGCTCGGAGCCATTAGATAGCAACTAGAATTTCATCCTTATTTATCAAGGGTTGTTTATGTTTCTAGGCTCAATGAGCCTTACAGTAGTCGTAATGTGGGCGCGCACGGAGGACAACAAGCGAGCGCAGATTTTTGGAAATTGAATTTCTCCATGAAAATCGTTCTAGAAACAAAACGGACTTCAGAATCGAAATCAGCGATGTTAATTGCGTACGAGACTCTGAGCGGCTCGGTCCAGCCATTATTCCTACCTCAGCGCCGAAAAATTACACCCGCGGCGTATATAATGTTTATCAAAACAGCGGCAGGTTAGACGGTTGGAAATATTGAGATGAGAGGAAACTCGGAGAGATTCATTGATAGCAAGGAAGTTTTCGGACCCGAATTTTGGAGACACTCCAGCTGATGAGACTAGATGGGCCGATTGGTGTCTCAAACACCACGGGGCGGGGTGAATAGTTAACAGAGGGTTCACAACACTTTGTTCCCGACAGCGGCAGGATTCGAACCTGCGCGGGCAGAGCCCAGTGGATTTCAAGTCCACCTCCTTAACCACTCGGACACGCTGTCTGCGAAAAGACCGGCATTCTGGCCGTCGGGATGTGCTTCCCCAAGATTACACACGACCATCCTTGCATTCACTGGAGTTTGATAGTCCCAGCGTCACCGGATTGCAGACGAAGGAAGAATACCCTATGTGGCCATCTTTGTAGCGGAATCCATGGCGATTTACGATCGCAGCGGCCATGCTTGTAGAAACAGCGGTAGGTTAGACGGTTAATGATGGGAATGTTGAGACTAGAGGAAATTCGGAGAGATCCATTGATAGCAAGGAAGTTTTCGGACTCGAATTTTGGAGGCACTCCAGCTGATGAGACTAGATGGGCCGATTGGTGTCTCAAACACCACGGGGCGGGTGAATAGTTAACAGAGGGTTCACAACACTTTGTACCCGACAGCGGCAGGATTCGAACCTGCGCGGGCAGAGCCCAGTGGATTTCAAGTCCACCTCCTTAACCACTCGGACACGCTGTCTGCGAAACGGCCGGCATTCTGGCCGTTGGGCTGTGCTTCCCCAAGATTACACATGACCATCCTTGCATTCACTGGAGTTTGATAGTCTAAGCGTCACCGGATTGCAGACGAAGGAAGAATACCCTATGTGGCCATCTTTGTAGCGGAATCCATGGTGATTTACGAGCGCAGCGGCCATGCTTGTAAAAACAGCGGTAGGTTAAACTGTTAATGATAGGAACGTTGAGACGAGAGAAGATTCGGAGAGATTCATTGATAGCAAGGAAGTTTTCGGACCCGAATTTTGGAGGCACTCCAGCTGATGAGACTAGATGGGCAGATTGATGTCTCAAACACCACGGGGCGAGGTGAATAGTTAAATTACCACACTCGAAACACGTGGGTCTGGAGACAAGCTAGGCTTGTCCATGAAGAGTCGAGCTTGAAGGCCGCACTCGCAAGATTAGTGCTGCTTGGTATAAGTGATACCACTAGGATGTCGCGTCGACACCAAAGATGGGACAAGTGCGGTCTTCAAGCGAGTCGGCTCTTGTGCTCGGTGTGGGAGGGATGGGTTGAGCAAAATGACAACACTATTCACGCGGCACTCTGATCTGCAAGCTATTCCTAATGCGTGCATACGTGGTGCAATCTTGCACGCGGTTCGCTGTGTGTCGACTGTCCCTTTTGGGCAGCGGAGCGACGTGTGTCTCGTTTCCGGAATTTAACTTGGGATAAAGGATTATCCTTGATTAACAGAGGGTTCTCAAGGCTTTGTGCCCGACAGCGGCAGGATTCGAACCTGCGCAGGCAGAGCCCAGTGGATTTCAAGTCCACCTCCTTGATCACTCGGACACGCTGTGACAGCGTCGCTGTCTGCGAAAAGGCCGGCATTCTGGCCGTTGGGCTGTGCTTCCCCAAGATTACACATGACCATCCTTGCATTCACTGGAGTTTGATAGTCCAAGCGTCACCGGATTGCAGACGAAGGAAGAATACCCTATGTGGCCATCTTTGTAGCGGAATCCATGGCGATTTACGAGCGCAGCGGCCATGCTTGTAGAAACAGCGGTAGGTTAGACGGTTAATGATGGGAATGTTGAGACGAGAGGAAATTCGGAGAGATCCATTGAAAGGGAGGAAGCTTCAAGTCCCAAAACTTGGGGGCGCTCCAGCTGATGAGACTAGATGAGCCGATTGGTGTCTCAAACACCATAAAGAGAGGTGAATGGTTGAAAGAGGGTTCTCAAGGTTGTGTATCCGACAGCGGCGGGACTCGAACCTGCGCGAGTAAAGCGCAGTGGGTTGCGAGTCCACCTCCTTGATCACTCGGACACGCTGCCAGCGAAATAGCTAGCATTCTAGTCGTTTAGATGTGCTTCCCCAAGATCACAGATGAACATCCTTCAGTTCACTAGGATTCGATAGTCCAAGCCTCGCCGGATTGCAGACGCAGGGAGAATAACTCATGTGGCCGACTGCCACTGGTCGTCTCAGCGGCGGACCCCGTGCTGTTCAACGAGTATGAACCGACACCAGATGATCTGATACAGATCCTCATATCAGCACACTCGGAAGGGAAGACGTTTTTGAGGTACTCTAGCGTACCAGGCTAGGTGGGGGATGTTCGGAACACTCTTGGGAAAAATAGACTGTTGAGGGGAAGTGATTTAGAGCATGTATCCGGCAGCGACCAGATTTGAGCCTACGTGGAAAAGTCCAGAATATTCTACTCCACCTCTTCAACCATCCGGACATACTGATACATCACGATCAAATGTTCCAGGTGTATCTATGCGACCCTTCTCAACGAATGCATCGAAACACCGTTGAAATGCTATCTCACGCTTAGCATGACATGCTATGACAGCATCGTACACCTAGTCCTGCCAAACGACGAATATAAGCTGTCTTATTCAGCGAACTCGGCCTGATTGTGATCGGTCAGACTCCTTGTCGGCCGCAGCATCATCCGCTTGGATCGGCCCTTGGCAGACAGACAGCACGGCTTTCGCGTTGCACCGAACCAACTCGATGTCGATGGTAATACTTCTCGTGGACCACCCTCATGCCTGGGCTTGACTGGACATCTCCACGGTGTGGAGTCCACGCTGGACCCTCGTTGTGAGCGCGATAATACCATTCTAACTCGCGCCATGGGTGACTCTACCCACGACTCAATGCATTGTCTCCCTGGGGGGCAATCTAAAATCTAAACAGCGGGACTCCACACCTCCAGGCGAGGACTCTCATACCGGCGGGCATGCTTTGGAGAGCCCGAGCCGTTAGATGAATATGGAACGACATGCTTCCCAGTTGTACAATTCGCTTCAATCCACTGCCTCAGTGGTGAGCTAGTTCTACTCTAATTGGCTGTGATCACACACTGATAAATCATAAGTGATAATCAGGTCAGTTCAGTCGGACTTTGATAACTCACCAAGAATTGATCAGATGATAACAGAGATCGCAACTCACAGATAAGCCCCCTCTATTGCCAAGCACTTACTGCTAAACATACCTTTACCTTTGCAGACGACAATCGTTTGTTTTCCTCAACAACTCAAGACTCATCTCAAAGTATATGAAAGCATCAAGTACATCATCATGTGTGCGGGCATCAACAGGCCAGAGTAAATCAACACCATTCCACCCCTCAAGAGGGTCATCAGCCGGGAATCTAATGTCGAACCAAGCACGATACCATCAGTGTCAATACTCAACCCCTCACTCATAATGTCGTCTAAAGGGAGTCGCTTCCTTATCCCAAATATCTGCTACATCCCTAACCTTATGATGATGGAAAGTGACTTCGTTCGACGGTATCTAATGACCATCCTTCCCCCCAATGTGGAAACCTCCTATCCACCGGCAGCCTCCATCGCGTCCACCACGAGCTGGTCTCATCGTCGGGGCGGTCCGTGATGTGACAGGCATGGGTCTGGCCACTCACACTTGCTGGGTCCACCACCACAACACGCTGGATCTGATCCTTGCAATACCGATGACCTTCACCGTGCTCGACTGCCCACCGGCCTCCGGTGAACTTTAGCAGCTCTGAGCGGTAGAGCTCCAACAGGTTCTCCTCTCTCAGGATTCAGCTTGTCCCATTGGAGCCGATCCCCACTATAGCCATGTTCCGAGTGACTTGGAATCTCATGGTCACTTCTTGTCTGATTGGACGAATAATGTCCACCAAGACATGCCACACCCCAGATGTCACCTTCATGACCATCTCATGTGTAACCTTGGCGCTCTCGAGTGCGTATTTAGTCATCATGTTCAGCAGATTCTCAATCGGGTTGAGAGATACAAACTGGGTCGGTTGGTGAGCCTCGATGGAAGCTACAGTCATCCACACAGCAACTACAACTGTTCCCAACTCTCCTCCAATTACCCCAACCAAATGCCACACGCTACATCCACAGAGCCTCTATCGTGTCACCATCGCGTTGCTCTGCACTGTAAACAGGCTCCGTGAGAACTCCCCCATCCACTAACGCAAAGCGATGATTCCCAGTGGTAGCCAGGAACGATAGTACAGCACATTCGCGTCGCCCTCCTGCTCAGCCTTGAATTCTACACGAATCTCACAGCCGACCTCCTCGTCGATCTCGTAGTTCTTTTCAGAGCGCTCTAACGGCGCTGGAATCGATAGCAGCTGATCAAATCAATTTCGTGGCGCGCGAAATATCTATGACATTTGCTTGGCAGCAAATGTTTGCCAATCGATCAGCAGCTGAAACCTCTACTGCAGCATCTATTCAGCTTGCTCATGATGAACACCATTTGTGTGCCATCCTGCACCATGATAATGTTGATATTCTACACACATCCCGAAGCGATCGGAGGATCAACACCAGATTGAAGCGACACTTCCGATGGAATGGGGATTCAAAAAATTCTTCGCGCTGCGCACAGATACTGATGATAACCAAGTTGGTTATCATCAATATCTGGTTGAACCAACCACTACTGACTTTAATCACAACCACCATCACTCCAGGGTCGCAAATATTTACTTCAATTGTCAACATGTCAAAAATTCGCATTCATCAGTGAAGATCCTCACCTTCATGCCTCCAACAGCGTTGATCGCATCAGTATCATCCTCATCTCTCTCACCACGATTTTGTACTTAACCACCTCGCCTCTTCCGCTGCAAAACACTACTCGCCAGCTCAAAGCCACGCGGAAACGCCGCGCCAAAGCCACTTCCATTGATACGTAGAGGAGACCCTCTTCTTCTTCCTTTGTTCTACCACCCCTCCTACGATTGATATTCGACAACTCAACAGAGAGCTACTAGAGTCCACACGGAACAGGAAATGTATCAGTAATGATAGACTCTTTGAAGAAACTTGATAGCATCATCAACAACCGTAATGATGATAACGACGCCCTCAGGATAGAGCCTCGTAACAACTCGACATAGTAGAAGAATGGGCCTGGTCGGACCAGTAGATACAGCAACGACCGAGCGATAATGGCAATGAGAGAGACCAGTCAACAACCACTAAGGCGTTACTGTTGATCCTAGCAATATAGGGAATAATCTCTATTTCTTACAATCTTACATCTCCTCAACGCACATCATCCACTCAATCTGTTGCCGATGAGAAATCAATCTAAGACTTATACCACCTGGGAGCTGCTACGACGCCGACCAGAGGAGATTGCAGCGCCTTAGGCACTGCCCGCCTTGATGGAAAGCAGCGGAGCGAAGCTCAGAGAGACATAAGGATAGTACTCACCACTACCCTCCTCCTAAAACACACACAACATAATCATCATCATTCATCACCCGTTCACCTACATCAGTAGCAGCGCTTCCCTGTTGTTTCTCGGCCTTGGCACCAGAGAGGTAGTTCTTACCAAATAGACCACTGCTGGAGAAGACGTCCATAAGCTCAGCACGCAGCTTCACTGGCTTGGCTTGTGACTTCTTTCCAACCACCGCGATGAACGCAGCAAAGTTAGGGGGAACTCCGAAACGGAGGACAGCTTCGACAAAGGTTCGCATAGCCTTCAAGTGAATCCAACCAACGAGGGTATCAGAGAACGCAGCAGCGCATACCCTGAAGAAATCATATAATCAATCTAGCGGAGCGAAGCTCGAATATATCATCCTCATTACCTCTTGAGGAAAGCCTCTTGCTTCTTCACCTCACTCTCCATATGGGCCTTAGCATTCTGTAGCTCCTCATACTTGCTGGCATCATAAGTGAAGTCACGGCAATTGAAACGAGCATGTCGCATGTTGTTGGCGAACTCCTCGACGCAGCTCTTGAAGACGACTACTCTGTACAGCTTAGCACCGTCCTTATCAGCAGGGAGGTTCAAAGGGGAAGCCGACTGAGGGACGACCTTGGCAGCAGCAGCCTCGTATTTGCTCAAAAAGTCCTGGTCTTGGCCACGAGGCACCACAACAACAACAGTAGTGAGATGCTCGGTCTCGACGAAGTCACCCTCACGAACACTCTTAGGAGTAATAACATCAGTCAGATCTCGCTGAGCGTATGAACCAGACTCCTGAGGGGAAGCACATCAACGATGATGATGACAATGGACAAATCGTGCCCTACCTTTTTGCTCATCTGAGTGTACTGTGTCTTGAGATCAGAATAAGCCTGACTCTTCGACTTCACCTCCTCATCGAGCTTCTGAATACTCGTCAACAACAGACTGAGGTTGTCCTGAATATTCCTGGTGCGGGGGAACTTGGCGTCATCCCAGTGGAATTTGGAGATGTACTCCTCTGCTGATAGTGAAGCCCTCTGAGAGACGACCTTGAACTCAGTGTTGGGGTCAAGCTCGAGCAGCTGCCTCTCGATACGGCGAAGGACGGCCTCAACCTATGGGAAGGCAGTAGAGAGGGGAGTGGTATGATAATGACCAACTTGGGAATCTTGTTTGGAAAGGTCGTCCACCAATCTGATGAGGGAATCGAAGGAGCCGAACTTGAGGTTCTCAGGAACGTCGAACCTAATAGAAAACAAGGTAAACACTTGAGAACAATTATACTAGTAAAAGTTGCATAAACTTCCCACACGCCACAGAACACCGCAATGCCCTCTTCCCATTACTTGTAAACAGCATCACAATACTTGTTCTTCTCACACACTCTAGACTGCAAAACGGTGTGAATGAGCTCCTTGGGCTCGTCAGCCGAGGAGCAAGCCAGAATAAGGTAGGGTTGAATCGTGGAAGAGGACATGTCGACGCGCTTCAATACACTACAACAATGATGCTAATCTCATCAGCAGCAGCAACAGCGAGCTTAAGAGTCAGGCTCAGCATTTTAGTCTTCATTTTGCGCGCGCCCATCTAATCGATAACCACTTTGCCAACAGCAAAGGCCAACTAAACTTAACTCTTATAAGGAGCTATGCAACGACCTTGCCAGCCGTACAGTCGACTCTTCCAAATCCATCACTCTTTGAAACAATCCCCAGTTCAAAAAATCGTAGTCAAATCGCTCCAACCGTTTAGCGGTAGCTGCATCAACCCCACAGCGTAGCGCTAAAGTCATGATCCACCGTCTCTTCCTTCCCACTACACAACTCAAGGTAACCATCATGAACATGTCAATGAACACCCTTCGAACATGATACCATGCATTAAAGATCTCTCTCTGCTCGAGCAGCCCTAATCGCCCTCTTCAACTCCCCCGCGGCAAAGTCGAGCTCGGCCGCTGTAGATGCTCGCAAACGGCGACTGATGAACTCTCCTCGACGCTTATAGCGGATTATGAACACCAGCGACTCTGATAGATTGAATGTGGATCGACTAGAATGCCTCGGCGGTAGGTGTACTCGATTGACAGAGAGTAACTGTTGACGGACGAAGAAGGGCGATGCGCGAGTGGGAGGGTGATGCTACTGGGATGACTTCGACAGGGGAGCTCAGGTCTCGATGAAAGGCCTCCTCTCTTGTCTTCCAACATGCAAGGAAGTACATGAGACCTCCGTCATCGCCGCGGTTGCTCTCTGTATGAAATATTCGATACCAGTAGGGAGTCCTAATAAGAGTTGCGATTGGTGTGGTAGGGATGTTACAAACAAGCAGGTTTATAAAGTGAGTGTGTTGGGAGTTGAACCCGCTATCCTTTGAGTGAAGGGAAGACACTGTACCCATCGGGTCACTATGACAAGATTTTGACTATAACTGTTAACGAGCGAAAGTGTCATTCGTTCATCTCTACCAGCGAGTTCCTCTGTCTGATTCCTTCTCTAAATACACCACATAATTATCAGCAATCGATTGCGTATCTTCAAACGGGCATGGTCTGATACAAAACAGGTCCACTTCTCGAAGAATGATACCACTCCTCTCACAATCTCGGTTGCTTTGCCATCAACCAGGGCCGAACCGCTCGTTGAATGACTACTGCCGCCCAGGAGTCCGGGTTAATCCACCGTACCACTCCTCTCAACCAAGTAGACATCTGAAAATAAGGATCAATTCTAGGGGAGCGAAGGTGTCAGATCAAACCATGCTGTTGCTCTTAGTAGGCATCAGTTTGACCCAAGCAGTACTGTGAAGGACTCGGTCCCGGATACCTACGGCCTTAACCATATTCAACAGTCGCGGCATGCTGCTCACCGTGAGGGAGCTTGTTCAGCATCCTCTCCGTCAGCTTGGTCGAATAGACCTCTTTGAGATGCATCACCATACCCCAAGGTATCTTAGGAGTAGGTACATATAGCCAAATGCACGCATGCACAAAAGATACCCTGTCATCAGCATTCCACTTCAGCCAATGCCTCTCCTCGACAATTCCAAGGTCTTCCACAGTGAGGAGCCACTGCTTTCCAACTAGCCAATCCCGTACACGGCCTTCTAGCTCAGCGCGTATACCTTTCTCTACGAGTATCTAGAGGTCGCAGGTTCGATTCCCAGCAGAGACACTCCAACCCACCTTATGAATGGTCCTAGCTAACGGGCAAGTCTCATTAGCAGCCCTTCGACGGCGTTTAAGCATCCTGATCGACGGGGTTCACAAACCCTGGATGGTTCAATGGGCCTTCTCCTCACCGAAGTATCCATCTGCTCACTGCTAGCATTATAGTCCTCTTCGCCACCTTGTACGATGCTGTGCTACCCGACACCACAGAAGATATGCTACTCCGATGGGCTGATCGATCAAAGAGGCCGTCAGTGGGCCTGTTTTGAATCTTCCAACTCACTCATAGGTGGTCTTTGAGTATCCCCCTTGACGAGGCTCCACTCGTCGGCATCACAGTATTCACCGTCCTCGTCGTGGTGATACGTAGGCAAGATACCGTCCCTCCTCATGAGGTACTGCTTGTATGCATCCGCGATGGTCACGGCTGCCCACCTGCCGCCGGGTATTTCAATAGGCCAAATTCAATGGCATCTCTCAATCAAGATTAGCCCCTCTCCTCTGCGATTGACAGTGGGAAATTTCCCCACTTTTCCTTGTGTCGTTTTTTCAACTTTTCCATCGCAATTTTCCGTTTACTTCTCCTATCCCCCAAGATTTGCAGCCGCGCGACGAAGTCGGACTTGATAGCTGTGACCTGATCTCGGTCACCTCGAACGGTGGAGAAATTCCAACTCAGGTCCCACCTCAATCTCTCGTATCTGCTCCTTCAGTGTTTTCACTAACCTCAAGGGAAGCCCCCAACTCTCCATCACCTCTTCAGGGACCTGTCAGTAATTTCATGGCGCGTGACGGTAGTTGTTATGGTCACTTTAGAGACATCGTTGTGATTCGTGAGCCATTGGTTGTGATAGAGAAGTTCTTGATACGGCCTCATCTCGTATCTATGTCGCTCGAGCTTCCTCGCGCACCTTTCGAGGAGCGCGTTGAGAGAGACCGGAGTGCCCGACACTGTGAAATGCAAAAACTGATGTTTTTCGACGGATGGCACGTAAAGTATCTTAGGTTATAACATGAAAGATACGGAACAGGCCCGGCAATCTCCTCCAGCACTGTCGAACAGCTAATGAATAGATCCCGAGCTAGCACGCATGCACACCATCGCAGCAACTGGGCCGGGCTAGATACCCCGGGTATCACACCCGATAGCAAAGGAGGTAGTTTACTGTACGTTTGTCTCAACTATCACCAGTAGTAGGAACGACCTTATGACTTCATGCTAGTGTCGAGGAAATCGAAGACATCGACGGTTCGGGGGCGGAGCTCTCCGAAGCCCATCCTCCTGAGTACAGCCAAATGTTGGTCACCTTCGGAATACAGAGACTCTCGCCTTACTAATACCGAGCAGTGCGAACCGAGTATATCTCTAACAAGTTGACTGCGAGAAGTGTCGCCGGCAGGGATGGAACCTGCGCTCACAGGAGAAGTGCATTTAGGTCAATTATATAGTACCACTTTTCCTGCAAATCGCTCCGCGGTTGGATGGGAGAGAGAATCTTCGAGGATGGTAGGTGGGGGTGTTGATATGCCACAGGTTGGGGGCATGGAAGATTCAGAATAGGTCCGGAAGGGGAACTACGCACGAATATCGATCAGCACATATTAAACTTTTGCATGGGAAATACACTCGCGTCGATCGAGTCCAGCTCGACAGTCTCCAGGCTAGAGACTTTCAGCATCAACATGTTCGATCAGTGTTGTCGACGACCAGACACGTCCGAGTGGCTCCACGAAGTGACAGTACAGGGGCATGATGAGGACACTCAGACGGGAGGAGCTTATACCACTCCAAAGGCAACTCCTACTACAACCGCTGCCACTCCAACCTCTCTCGTCGGGAAGGAAGAAGGTAATGACTCCATCACCATCCCCCGACATTAGTCATCTCAGGCTTGTCAAGGGGAGCGGCAGAAACCCAAGAACCATTAGCAGCAACAACAACACCGTTGGAGGTAGTTTAACGGGGGGAGGCAGGGAAAATATCTCACCACTGAATAGGTGTCGTCTAGGGCACATCACTCATCGGAATGAACAGGTCTGGTAGGTGGGAAGGCGTATCGATACTCCGATTAGAGAAAGTGATAATATGAGCATACTCAGACGACTGCGGCTGCCGGTGCTTCCGAGGACGACACTGATGACGATGTGGCGGACGAACGGGTTGGGGCTGCAGATGAGAAGGAGGATATCGAGTTGGTGGATTGCTTTAAGCTAGATATACAGGTAGTATCTTAGGTTCACGCGGGTAAGATACAAAACAGGTTAGAATATGGTCGCTCCTTCCTTCAGAGAATTCCTGGTGTCCGTTTGGGCATAGATGTCGACCACAGCGATCCTCGATGGCTTGTCGTAGATAGAGTTACCCCCGAGGGCTCCATTGACCTCTGGAATAGGAAAGCTCCCCCGGGCCAAAAACTACAAAAGGGAGATATTGTCTTGCGAGTTAACAACGTCAGAATGGACGCAATGCGGATGGTGGAGCAATGCCAAACATCTAGTGTGTTGCATATGTGGGCTAAGAGGCCTAAGCTCATCCGTTCCTTATCTGATTGATAGTATCAGTCGTTCATGTAGAAGACGAGGTTACATTCATAGTGAGTAGGGGGATATCACTACTACTACTGCTATTATTATTACTACTACTAGGGCATTGCCCCCTCCCCCTCAATTTTCCACTGGCTGCATTTCTATAGGGTCTCCGTGATGGAGATCCTCTGTTAAACTAATGTCTAGTTAAAGACAATCATAATGTATCATCCATCGACCGACCGAACGTCGTCGTCGTCGTCAGAGCAGTCTTCGATCGCCTTGCGTTATTGTGAATATCTCCACACTGTAGGAGCGGGAAAGATTCTTTTCCTTCCCTCAAAGCCGTGCATAGATGGACCTCAGCTGGAGATGGTCGATCTCTGATGCTGATAAAAATGGTGGAGCGGAGCTGAGGGCAGGAGAGGTGGTATGGGTTCTCTCCGGTTCTCGAGATGTACACTGTTGGAAATACTGAATGTTGGCCTACAACAGGTTAGTAATAAACTATATTAATTCGTTTCAACGCATATCGTAAATATGCGCGTTCATGAAGAGCGGTCTCGACTGAGTTATTTCAGGGAGGATGCGGGGCGGAGGTGGTGACGGCGTTAACGAAGGCTTCCACTCGGTCTCCCCAGTGGTTGAAAATAGTCATAAATCAACACCGTCTCGATCGCGAACATCAAACACCTTTCAACATGCTAATCATCGTCAGCTCACTTTGAATGCCCGGCAGTCTCCTCCAGAGGTAAACGAAACTGCTCTCGGCCCGCCGTGGAGGTCGATTTCCATTCTACGCATAGCCTTATTCTTGATGACCAAACTCATTGACATCAGAGAATTTTCGCCTGATCGTAGGCTTTGTAAGCCGTAACCTTGGCTCTTCAAATTAGGCACATTAACGGTGATTTTGCCACTTTGGGCATTGAACGTGGCTTCGTAGTCGCCACTGTATGTATTTCTGTTACCTGTTACTTCTATCATGCCATTTCTCTTGAAAGAAATCGTGTGGATACCGTCACCATGTTTATCATCATCCGCTGCAAAGTCGCAATCCATTCGAACTCCCCCACGGACTCTCACACCGTTGGCATCAAAAAACACCTCCTCCCATTGGACTTGTTTATAGACATATTCATCGCTCTGATAGGCATATTCATTTTCTCGTCGCACAGTTAACGTTAACGGATGAAGACTTAGAGAATTGTCCTCCCCTATGAAGTCGATGAGCTGCTGAAAACTGTCTGTGGTTTTTCCGCAGTCACTGATAGTCACTACGAGCGATCGTACAGAATACTTACAGGACACCTGTTCATCTTCGTTATTGAAAATGTCAACTCCGCCATCCAGATGGAATGAAATCTGCCCGGTTTTCCCCTCAAAGGTACAGTCCATCATCCCATTCTCAGTCAATGCCACACAATAGCCCGGCTCCTCGCGCGACTTGCCGTGGTTGTAAATGTCGACCGCACCTCCATAGTGTTCTCCAGCGATCTTAGTTTGCATCTTTTGGAGGTCAAGACGAATTCCCTTATCAAAAAAGTGTCTTCCATATTCCTGTATTATATTTTCGCAACGATTTTTCTCATCATGATGTGAATCATGCAAAATGACTTGCACATTCGCGTTGTCTTTAATAACACCACTGTAGAAGCAACTGTGCGGTTTATCTTCTATTGTGTAGAATGTGACTTCACCCGTCGGCCGAAATTCAATCATCCTCACTGATCCCTCCGGATACTGTGGCGTGTAGAAAACGGCATCGAGAGCGAATCCCGAGACGGCAGGTAGAGGGAAGGGCTGAGGATAAGCGAGAGAGACGTACGAGGACAACGACGAAGGCGCCAAGCCTAGGGATGGCAGACCAGCCATGGAGAACAATGCCTTCACTGGGAATCGAACCGGGGACTTCAGATTTCACGACACAACATAATGATGAGCAAAAGCTATCAATATCGCATGGCGACTGCTACCGACAGTGATACAACAATCAATCGTCACAATCAGTTACCATTCTACTCAATCACATCAAACTAAATCGATCAATCGGGCGAGCGCTTATCGCAGTCAGATTCTACAGTCCAGACTTATTTGCAACAATGCTGGTTATACTTCGTCAACTTAAAAGGCCTTGGTAGTGGTAGCATGTAGGAAGTCGATAATGCGATACCGACCATCATCCGATTTTAACTTCAAAACTTTCATCGCCGGTAAAGGTCCTTGTATGAGCTGTTGATAAATGAGAGAAGTGTCTTCAGGAATGCCTATAGTAGTAGTCGTGATGACCTAAACGAGAACTCTGATTTTCTCGCGCGCCACGAAATTCCCACCTGGAGCCGCCTATGCGGGGATATCCGATGAGATTGATAGAGTTTGATGAGGATCCTCAGAAATGATATTCCGAGGTCAGTATAGTCTCCCATCCATCCACCTTGGAATTTGGTCAGATTGAGGGATCTAAGATATTGTCAAAAATAATCATCCCACTCCCTCACAAACTCACAGGCGCTCAAGAGCCGGGAAGACCCCCTCCTCTGCGAGTCTCAATGCCAGAAGCGAACCGACAGCACCAAAAAACGGGCCGATTAAGGACAGCCTAACAGGAGGCGATTATGGACGAGTCTTCGACAGGAGTTCTATACCGTTTCAGAGAAGACAGTGGACCAGCCGTAGAAAGACAGCCCAACAAGGTGGCGGATACCAGGCAACCAGTGAGGCTGAGACTTGTTAGGCATCGAGAGAAGTGTGAAGGGCCGGTGAGGAGCACAGGGGGAAGTCCTGAGAATGGAATATGAAGACTACGAGAGGACAACGACATCAGCGGACCTTTCAGTTCAACTTCTGTTACAAATGGCATAAACTCTACCGCCGTTTGGCGATCGTTAGCTGGCATTGACCATTCACTGGGTGCCCCCAGGGGACTGCGCTGATCCCCCTCAAAGCTGGGAAGGCCAATGAGATCGCCTCCCAAATATCCAAGACCGAGCCGCAACAAGAAGCCCCATTGTGGGAGATGAACACCTTCTCGACGATGGGCCACTCCTCAACATTTCCTATCGCTCTCGCAATGGTGTCACAGCAAAAGCCTTTGAGATTCATAATCTTCAACTTAGGCGTCAAAAAGCGACCGAGTACAGGACAGAGGTCGAGCTCGGGTCCACAGCCCTCCGATGGACGGATCGTGATGGTCGTTAAGGATGGTAGAGTAGAGTAATTGAAGATGGCGAGATGGGACTCCTCGATCGAAAGAGTCTGCAAAAGCTGGAGGCTTTGCCAAGCGATCGAGTAAGGGCCAATGATGGTGTCCACGACGTGAACCAGAGGCATAAATTCTATCGGTTCCTTGAATGCTGCATATAATGATACTGCATCTGATGATTGTAAGAACGGCACCACAGCGAATAGGGGTAGGGCTGATGCATCATTGCGGAGGGAAGACGGCATGAGAGGGGACGATAAAGGCTGATAGCAGCGGGAATAAGAGGATCGTTAATTGTGATAACCAACCACTCCTGGACAGGAAACGCAACTTTCCAGTGTATGCAGGGATTCCAAAAACACGTCGATGATAACGAGGTGTCGAATCTGGAGTTGACTATTCGCACCAGTACAGTATTAGCAGTAGTAATAATAATGGAATCATCCAGGAACCTATAATGTTCTCAGGGGGCGGATTTATTTTGAATTTTCTGCGTAGTTAGGAACACATTCTTCAATCAGTTTCCAATGTAAATTTTATCACATTAGGATCATCATTCTCCCCACTGTTATCGAACTCTGGGTAACGTTATCTCTTAAAGCTGGATAATACTACTCCTATGACCATCCAGTACTCGTCTTAGTTACTATTGATGGAAAACTGCCTTGAGACCCACAGCAGAGTGAGGCAGCAATAGCCTATAATGCGCTCTCCTCGCTCAAGAAGTAACTTAACTCGGCCTTGGCTAGATTTATAATACATTGCAACGACTCCCTTCAGCTCCATAGAGATCATTCTCCACCACCAGGATGACTTCTTTGCGAATCAGCCGAGTGCTGGTCCTTAGAAAGAGGAACTCGGAGTCTTCCTCTTGCTGGGCCACAAAAGAGCCGAAATTATACCGTGCCCCAATATCGGAAGCCATAATAGAGGAACTTCGACTCGAAGCTCTTTATGGGCCATGAATTACGGCCTCTGCAGCAGAGCCGAAAGATACATCATCTCCCCCTCCTCC